CCCTCTGGCATGTGCTCCTCCTACCATCACCACGTGGCCTCCACAATGCCCAGCCCCCACCCCTCCCCCAGAGCTGCCCTGGTCCGACTCCCTGGAGAAAACATCCGACCTGCCCTCTGAAATCCTACCTCTGTCTCTGTTAAACCTTTCTGGGATCCCTCCTGTTGAGGAACAATTCCAATATCTCCAACCCCCTGCTCCCATCTTGCCGGCCTGTCAGCTGCTTCTTCCCTTTCATCTTTGTCTCTGCCCAGCCTTCCCTTAAGGAAATCTCTCCCTTCCTCCACCTCAACCACCATGCCTTCCCTCACTTTACTTTCATTTTTCCATGTTTTTAATTAATCCTGTCTCTTGAGTTTTTAATGAAACTTAAAAAAAAATTTTTTTTAATTGAAGTGTAATGTAGATCCAGTAACATGTGTAAAGGACAATGCACAGCTCAAGAAAAGTTGACCCGTGTACAGCCCTTATGACCACCTCCCCCATCAAGACAGAACATTCCCAGCATCCAGAAGACTCCCTCCTGCTGCTTCCTGTCAACACCTGCCACCCCAGAGTGAACCCTATGCTGACCTCTGCCACCCCTTATTTCAGCACAAAATTTTTAAATTCCCTTCTTAATCTTTAAATGATAAAAACTCCACTGGATTTTCCTCTGTCTCAATTTATAAGAGACAACTTATAACAACTTATCTCCTATATAACAAGGGCCCTTATGTAGTTTTGTCTGGCCATCATAAAGCCCTTTTCTACCCTTTGTGGTTAAAACCTCTGAAGTGCACAACTAAGATCAGAGCTTATGAAATAAAGCATCCTGGAGGCACCTGAGACATGTCCCTCCCTTGTAGGGCAGCCAGCTCATCCCAGCTCACCCCGGGCTTTGCAGCTTTTCATACCAATTGCTCACATCCTTGGAACCCCTCAGTCCCGTGCAAACCGGGAGGTTGATCATCCCAACCCCTGTTCTCTCCTTCAGACAGACACAAGGAGCAGAATGTGGGGCTGTGAATCCCACACCATCTTCCTGTGCTAGATATTGACTGTTTAAAGGCCCCCAGGTGTCCGATTCATTTTTTGTAGCTTGTATGGAATTTGGCTGTCTTTGCACTTGAAATTCTCAGCCTCCAGTCCAGAATGAGAAACAAGATTGCAGGAAGGTGATTTTATAAAGAGGAAAAATTCTTCTGGATTTGGCATTCAATGCTTAGCACTCCAAAAATCAGGGAAAATTCAGCTAGTGCTCACTTCAGCCCAGTGATTCTCAACACTCACTGTGCATCAGAATTGCTGGTGAAAATGCTTCCCACTTCCTCAGACCAACAGGGCTGCGGCTGGGGCTTTGGTCTCTGTTCAAAGGCCCCAGGCGACATTGGTGGCAGCCAGGCTAGATAACCCAGGGCCCCTTAGCCCGTGATGCTAGAATTAAGCAGTCCTTGTGGGCAGAGTCCCAGGGGCCTTCCTGACACCAGGAAACAAATCTCTCTCCCTGCCTGGACAGCACGAGAGTCTAGCCAAAGGCTGTTGTGACCCCTACAATTAATCTATTTTCTGGCTAATCACAGCTCCAGCACAGTGCCTGTGAGTCTGGCCAAAGCCACTCAGCACTCCAAGGCATGGCCACATCTGTGGCCATACAGGCCAAAGGCCTCTTCTCTCCCCTTTGAGAGCTCACTGAATCTGGTGGCTTTAGATGTCATCTGGTGGCTTTAGATGTCATCTAAGTCTGAGGCTAGTGACTCCCAAGTCTATAGTTCATGCATTGCCTTCCCACAGCTCGCAGCTCCAGATTCCTGCACATGCCGCGCCCCCTGACAGCTTCACGCTTTGCTCCACGTGGGCGGGTGGCTGGGGCTCAACTCCCCATGGCAGACCTGACCAGGGACCCCCAGCCCAGGCCTCCCAGGCTTCCCCGCCACAGGAACAGCACCGCCATCTACCCTAATTTGGTCTTACTCCCTGAAGAGTGGCAGAGCTCCTTGTGGGAGAAAGGCCCTTTCCTGATGAGTCTACCCCCGAGAGACAGGAAGCAGAAGAAAAGAGGATGCTTCCAGAAGGCAGGCAGGTGTGGGGTGGGTGCGTGTCAGTGAGAAAGAACCACAGCCAGGTCTGAGGCCGTGACCCTGCTACCAAGGCAGCAGCACCGGGAGGAGCACTGGGAGTGTTTACACCAACATCCCGAGTGTGGAAATGGGAAACCAGAACTCCTCTGCCTCCAGGTGGAAGCAAGGACTCAGCGGGCAGGGGCCCTTTCCTCAGCAGTTTGAAGGACGCCTCAGCAGCTGAATGTCCTTCCCTTCTGATGACTGCATTGTCTTGAAGATGAAGGCCAAGTTTTTCACAAGCTGGTCTGGGCCCAGCCCGTCTATCCTGATTCTTCCCCGTTTATACCCCCACCTCCAATCTTTCTGCTCAGACCCACTGCACTATGTCCTCACAAAGCCATAGACAGGCCGTGCAGTTTCATGCCTCCGGGCCTTTGCCTCTGTTCTTCCTGCCCCTGGAATACTTTTCCCAGTGCTCAGGCCGGGCTGGGCTTGTGCTCTGTGAAGACTCTCTGATTCCTCCTGACAGCCAGGGGCCTATACTGTCTGAGTGCTCACCTTCGGGGAGTCAGCGCATCTCTTGTCCGGGGAGTCAGAGATTCTTGACTCGTCTAGAAGACTAGCGACTCCATTTCTTCTCTGATGGACCCCCAGTGCCCAGAACAGAGCACAGAAGACCCTCGGTGAATATTTGCTGAATGGGCGAATGAATAATCTCCCTGCTAACAGGTGAGCTCCTCAAGGGTGTGGCCAGCATGCCACTTAGCTTGGTGCAGTTTCCACTTGCTGCTACTACCAATTACCACCCGTGCGCCCGCCGGGGCCAGAGACCAGCTGCCAAAGTGCTCCTGCAGGGCTGCCTCTGGCCACAACTGCCCAGCTGGCCCAATCTCTCAAGGCTCTGCCCTGCTTTGCTCCCATCCTTGGTTTGGAGACAAGCCCTTCTGGGAAGGGTGCCCACTGGCGGGACACCTAGCCTTGCTCCGTTGCTAAGGCCAGAGCTGACTTCTCCCCAGAGCTGGGTCCCAAGATTGATCCTTTTCGCTGACCTGAGTCAAATCCTGTAAACCCATCCCTCCCCTGGAACCCTCCTGAGCTTTGAGAGACACACTCCTCACAATCCCAGCTGATTCTCTCCAGCCCTCCACCACAGAGATCAGTGGGGAGTCCGTGTCTTTAACAAAAAGGAAGAGTAATAAATAAAAGTAATCTGGCAAAGAAAACTTTCCTCATTTATTTTCCAGGGATCTTAGCTCATCAGTCTTCCCCCCTAACCTGCTTTGTGCTCTGTTAACTTTGCTTCCTGGCAGAACAGAATTTGGTTTTCCAATAGCATCTGTCGTATACAGGGTGTCCCCAAACATTAGCGGTAATGAGTTGGAAGTGGCACAATTGCAAGCCTTCGGAAGCCAACACCAGATGTCAGACCCTCAATGGGTCCCTCTGAGGATGTGGGCCCAGAACGCTAGACAAGGGCTGGGTAAGGGGTCCACGACTCTTGGTGCCTGGGAGTCATTCGTCCAAAAGACATGGGAGTGCCTGCCATGTGCCAGATCATGCGTGGGCACTGAGAAGTCAGGGCCCTGCCCGCATGGTGCTGTCATGGATGGTTACACATGACGGACAGAAGTGATGGTAGAGGCCAGGCCCCACCCCAAGTCAGTCAGCTGGACCATACCCTGGGAGGCAGCATGGTGAGAGATTTGGACTCAGACCAGGGTGTCAGGGCTCAAGCTCTTTAATTTAGAAATGAGGCAAACAATCCTCACTTCACTGAGTGACCTGAGAACAAAATGAGACCCTAGCACCAAGTCCAGCACATAGTGGGTGCTCCGTCCCTGTTAAATCCCTCTGATATCCCAGATCTGACAGGTGCAAATGCCCAGAGGTTGGCAGTGATCTCCAAGGGCAGCACAGCTGCTCCTCTGGGCTCCGGGTTCTTGTCTGGAGGCTTTGGCAGCTGCTGCCCTCTTGTGGGAACATGTAGGCAGAGCCATCCGCCGGCTGCCCCTGGCCTTCATATAACGGAAGAGAGGCCCAGCGGGACCAAACTTTCTGGGGACTTGACAGACATGAAAGTACTTCCCCAAATCCACCTGCTTCTATTCCCAAGGCCCTCCTCCAAGCACTCGAAGTGTTGTTCCCCACGAAAACCACTCCTGTGGCCAGGCCAGGTCCAGGAGGGGAGGGGGACAGGGGCGTAACTCAGAGCCCAAACTTGCCTTGTGCCGGGGGCTGCCTACCGCCAGCCTGGATATTTCCTCCTCACCACAACCCACAGAAGGGCCTCTTTTGATTCCTCCCTATAGTTGAGGAAATTTTGGCCCCTTAGGTGAGTATCAGAGCTGCACCACCTGTGTGTGGCCTTGAAAAGGTGGTTCCCATCCCTAACGAATTTGGAGAGGTGGCCTTCCAGCCGGGCCCTGAAGGGAAAAGGGAAGGTTGGCCTTGGTGGCTTTTCTTTTTCTATTTGACTGCAGATGTGCAATAGAAAGCAAGTAGGATAAGGGTGGAGCAGGGGTGCCCGTGGTCGGTTGCAGGAGGACGCGCAGTGCCCTCCTGCCGCCTCCCTCACATCTGCCAACACAGGTGGACACTGGCCTGGCAGCCCCTGCGCCCCCACCCGGGTAAGCTTCAAATGTGTGGGTCCTCCCCACCCCGTCCGGCTCCTTCCATCTCCCAGTCCTCGGCCTGGAATCGCTCCCCGGCTCCGCCAGGCAAGATGGGACGCGGAAGCCTGGTTTCGTTTTGGGAGAACGAAGTGAGAGGAGACAC